CACCCAGGAGAAGTCATCCTGGAGGAGGTGAGCCCCAGCCCCAGGAGCTCGCTCCCAGGTTGCGACACAACGCGGCTTCCCGACACCGCCCCCGTTCCGGCCTCGCCGGCACATTTTCCTCCACTTCTTCCCATTTTCTTCTTCTTAAAAAGCTTCATTATTCCAAGAGGGAAAAAAAAAAAAAAAAAAAAAAAGGCATTTCTGGGCTTTTTTGGTTTATATAAAGAAAAGGCAGAAGGCGGATCTGAGTCTGTCACACACGGATCTAAAACAAACCCCTCGACATTAAGTGTTTGTGCAGAAACCAGCCTCAAAACTCGATGTGTCAACGTGTGGGGGGGGTCAGGGTGGGGGGCAAGGACCAGAGGAGTCAGGCTGGGTGTGCAGGGCAGCTGGTCCAAGCCCTGCCATGGAGAACCCCCTGAATCCCAGCCTGGAGCAAGGGCACCAGGCCTGGAGCTGCCTCCTTGGCTCCTGCAGCAGCAAGATTTGAACCCAAGGTGTTATTTCAGAGGTTTTTTAAAATCAGGGGTCTCTGCTGGGGAGGAAAAGGCATTTGATGGATGGGGAACCTGGTAAGGCAGCACTGCTCTGAGCTCAGGCACAGGCTCCAGATGTGACCTTGGCAAGGTCACAACTGCAGGGGGTCCAAGGGACCCTTGGGGAGTTTGGGGTACACCAGGGGAGGTCTCCATTGCCTTGGCATCTCCTGCCCCAACCCCACTAGGGCAGCCCCAGAGCTCCCTGAACCCCCTTGATCCACACCACCACAGGACACTATCCCCCAACAAAGGGGGTCTGATCCCCCCGCCCACCCCAAACACCTCCTGGCTCTGAAGATGACATTGAACCCACCACCACCACCTTTCCCCTCTAGATGAGATCCTCCACAAAGCTTTACCCCCTCCCCAAAGAGCATCAGAGTTGCACAAAGCATTCTGAAGCTCTGGGCAGCCCAGGTCCCTCACCCACACAGGGCTCTGCTGGCTGTGGTGCCCGAGGGGGCCTGGGGGAGCGAGTCAGGCCGTGCAGACAAGGTCACCCCCCACCCCGGCCAGGGGGCCAGGACAATCAGCTGGACAGTGTGGGAACGGCTGCAGGGTCATGAGACTGCCGAGGGCTGGCATGGAAAGTTGTCCAACTTCACAACTCATTCTCCTCGCACAACACGCCCTTTGTGTCCCTGGGCCGCGGCGGCCGAGAGCGGCGAGGGGCTGAACGGGCCACCCCGAGCCCCCCAGGGCTAGCCACAGCCAGAGACCACCACGGCCCTTCCCCTGTTGCTGCCACCCAGCCCTTAAAAATCCCCCCTTCCCTTTTTAGGGGGCTGAAGAGCCGGAGAACTGGAAGCTGCGCAGGGCTGGGTGGCTCAGGAGATGAGGAAGAGGAGATGAGGAAGAGGAGATGGAGCCTTCCACCTTCCCAGCTTCCAACTGAAAATTCCCTCCCGGAGCAGGCCCAGGGCACATCATCGTGTCAGCCAGCCAGGAGAAATCTGCCTGGAAAGGTCCCCACAGCCAGGTGACGAGTGACAAAAGCTGCTGGCAGGGCCACCAGCGAGCCCCCTCCTTGGCAAGGACAAGGTCTGAATGGGCCACCAAGGGGGAGCTTCAACTACTGACCTAAATTTCCCAGGCAGCTCTTTTCTCTCCCTGCACCCCCCGAGCGGGCATCGGCCGCTTGTTGTCCCAGACTGGGTGTCTCTGCAGGGCTGCAAAGATGCCACATTTCACCCCAAAGTGGCTGCACTGGAGGAGTGAGGGAACTTCCCTCACACAGAACTTGGAGCAGCAGAGGGGACACCGTCAACTTAAAATACGCTCTGTTGGAAAGAGGGAGTTTACAACAATACCCGAGCTCTCAAATTTATTTCCAAACCTTATTTCCAAACCTGCTGTAACACGATGGGCAGCCCTAACTCACTCCTGCTTCCAAAATCCCAAGGTGACCCAGCTTCAACCATCCCTGGCTGCCCAGGTCAGCCCCGGGCAAGCACAGCCCCAGTCCAGAGAGGGAAAAAACATCATTTTTTGTGTCAGAAGAGCTGCCGACCACGCTGCAAGCAGGGGATGCCCCCCAGGACAAGTTTGGCTGTTCCACATCCCCACTCCAGGGGGATGTCACCCAATCACTTTCCTACAGCAGCTCTGGAATTTGACATTTACATTCAAATGAGACGACCACATTAAGATGGGATCACAACCTGAAGTGCTGACAAAACATTCCTTAATTATTAGTTTCCCTCATAACCTCTGTGGAAACCCCACTCTGCGGGGGGGTGGGTGGTTATTTTTATGACTATTCTTTTGCTTCTCTGAGTTTCTGTCCAATCTATCCGGGCTGACAGAGGAACCTGAGCAGCTGGAGGCTGCAACGAGCAGGTATCGGGTGGAAGGGTGAAGTCTCATCTGGTTAGTCGGGTAACAGCGAATGTTTTCGACGTGCTCCTCACCCGGAAAAGATCCCGGATCGGCTGACAAAGGCAGAGCTCTGCCCTCCTGCAGCCCAGGAGGAGCTTGAGCAACACCACGCACCTGCTCGGGGCACAGAGGGAAAACTCTCCTCCCCTTTTCCAGGCACAGGGCCCTGCCCCTTTTCCCGGGTAATCGCTGCATCCCGGGGTGATCTGGCCTCCTGCAGCTCTAGGGAGCCAAGGAAAGGAGGTTGTGGGTTGTTACGCCCGGTTTCTTAGAGGGAATGCAAAGTTTTAGGGGAGACTTTGCTGCTGTGTGCTGGAAAAGAAGTATTGGAATAATGTTGCTATATTTAAAAAAGGATTAAAAAAAAAAAAAAACAAAAAACAGCAAAAAGCCAGTGGTTTGCTGCCCAAGGCCCAAACGTTACCCCAATGACAGGTCACACAATGCAAGGCCTTGTCTCTTCACTTCATATTTCAGGAGAGCTCATCCCCGTTCCCCCCTTCCCTCTTCCAGCTGCGAGCCCGGATCCCCTGAGAACAGAAGGCAGCTCTGCAGCCACGTGGAGCCCGAGCCATGGTCTCTGCTGACACCAAGCTCTGCAACACCCCGAGGACAAGCCCGAGCAGGTCTCCCTCCACCCAGGATCCACCCTAAACTATGCGGAGGCCTGGGGAAACACACCTCGCACGCAGCAGCGCCCAGCCAAGACGGTGGGAAGATGGGAGGCAGGAGGAAAGGCAGGAGGGTGTTTTGCCTGCTTGGGAGAAGTCGCTATTTCAACCTCTCTACGGTGCCATTAAAATTCAACTGCTCTCCAAAAGGAATGCGCTGTCGGCGGTTTAGTGCCAAACTATCCCAATTATGTGGACCTGCAAAACAGAGGCAGGTTCCAGAGAAGAAGACCCCACGTTTTGACAGCACCAAACTGCCTTGGATGTAAAAAAAAAAAAATGAAGATAAATAAAAGCACAACGGCTTTCAAAAATCAATCTTAAGTTTTTGGTAACCCAACGGGCTGAAATCTCTTGGGTTTAGCAGGTCACTGAGGCAGCGATGGCAAAAAGGGGGAATTCAAGTGCTCCTCTATCTCAACAGGCCATCACATCCATGGCAAAACACCAGAGGACAGTCAGGGCATGACCAAGATCATGCAGCTATTAAGTGAAGAGATCAGAGCAGAAGCAGCATCCCACGAATATCTGTGGCCTTTCTGTGGACAATCTCTCTCTGTTCTCTGCAGCCGGGCAGCCCCTGCAGCCCCCCTCAAAGCCTGTCTGAAGGCACCGACCCTGGGAAGCGTCTTAGGCCCCAGCTCTCAGTGCAGGGTCTCTGCTACCACGGCTCCAACCGCTGGATTCACGACACGAAGGCTCATGTGAGGAAGGGGACTGACCACATCATGAGGATTCCAGCGGCCCCCCCAGCAGGCACGGGGCTCCTGGTCACACAACCAGACCAAACAACTCCTCTGCTGGTTCCTCAAAGCGGGGCGGTGGTTTTGTTCTGATCCTTCCAGAGCCCCCAGCTCGCCCAGCGCCCCGTTTGAGTGTCTCAGATTTACACATCAAGTGGAAAAACACCCGAGATGCTGCCACAGCACCCGAGCGGGGAGCCCGAGCTCCTCAGTTTCAGTCCAACTCGATGAACCCGCACCGCTATCAGGTAAGCAAACCAGG